GCTGCTTTAAACTGCGTTTCAGGCTGCAGTAGGGAAGATGGCAGACTTCGGGTCTGACAGCTCTCTGTCGAGGACTGTGGTTGAGGGGACGGATGGTAAGTGAACAACTTCATCAGCCTACGTAGGGTTGTTCACCTTTAGAGAATCAAGTAACAATTGGGGTTAATGATACTAAGGATGGGTAGGTAAACTGTTGACGTGTTTGTAAATTTGGCGTCGTAGCATGACAGTGGGACATCATGAGAGTCAAAGAGAGTGAACGTAGTTTTGTGGTTCCATGATTCGTTATTTGGCGAGCTACTACCTGGTTGCCTAGGCCTAACTAGGTGTGTTGTCTTAGCGGACCACTGCCCCGAGCCTTTGTCCAAAAGGCCCAACCGACAATTCAATAGGGCTAGATAAGGGTTTCGCACCCGTTTGGAGCCGGTGACCAAACATTCAGTGCGTACACCTTTCGGCTGGCAAAAACCATACCAAGAGCCTAACACTCCGAAGGGCAGAGACAGAGTCCGATGCTCGAATTGCTTACCGATGTACCACGTTTCCGAAGGCAACAAAGGGCAGTGACTTTATTTGGTGGCGAATCACATCCGCCACGTTGCAGTGTTGTTAAGCAGACACTTGTGGTTTTTTTGTAGGGAGAACGCTTGCCAAGCATGAAGCCACCTTCTGGAACACTGCCACTGTACCATTCACTGACACGAGAAATACCCGAATTGCCCAGCCGGCAGGGTGCAAAGCAAAGCTGGAAACGGCAAACAGCCAGTACTAACCTGTTCGTTGCGGCTTGACACATTTGTGAGATGTCACATGTGGGTAATATCATAAGCATACTCCAAGTCAAGAAATCGTTCACTTGGGGTAACTCTACACCTAAGTCGTGTCCTGTGAACACGATCTCCATGATTACATCAATAGCGAAGTTGAGAAGGAAAGGTGACAGCGAGCATCTTTGTCTTGCAGCCCTGGAAGCATTGAAGGGCGGCGACGACTTGCCGTAAACCACTCTGCCTGAGCTACGCGCGTAAAGCGCTCGCATAATATTTATATACTTCTCGGACACCTTTTCGTACCAGTCACAAAGAGCACATTGATTCACCAAATTGAAGGCACCTTTTATGTCGAGGAACTCGACTACAGTGGGCTGACTGTACACGTGACCGTGCTCCAACAACTGACGCAAAGGGGAAATGGAGTCGATGCATCCCTGATCTCGACGAAATGCGGCTTACTCCTCACGAATCTGGCTTTCACGAGTGCCAGTCAGTTTGTGAAGGATCACAAAGGTTAATAATTTGGGGGCGATAAGGATCAGACTGATTCATGTATGGTTGCCGCATTCTGAACGCGAGTCTTCTTTATAGATCGGGAATGTGACGGAGCGGTTCCAGTCGGTTGGGACATTTTGTTGCTTTCACAGTTTCACTAGTAATTCATGTAAATCATCAACAGGAGCAGGGCTCCTGAATTCAAAAGGGGCTGAAAGAAGATCATCTGGTGCCATGGCTTTATTCAACTTCAACAATCTAATCTGACGTTCGACTTCTGAGTTAGACGGTGGATCCAAAGTATCAGCCTAGAGAGCTGGGCGATCACTGGCCGTTGAGGAATCTGACAATTCTGCCGATTAAATTGTTTTTCCAAATGATCAGCCCAACAGTCCAAGCGTTTTGACAAGTTTTACATAGGCTGTCCACTCTCGTCACATATATTTTCACTAACGCCAGGTCTCCTGCCTGTTTCCCGAAGAGTTTCCGATGGTTACCAAGAGCAGCGGCCACTTCCATATCTGACGCACGAAGAGACAACCACAGTTCGCGGTTTATCTTCAGGCTAGCACGTAGTTTTTCCCTGAGTTCCCTGCGAGTCTCGTCGTGTTCACTTCCAACCGGAACGTGCGGCAAGCATCGATAACTTCCAGAGACCGCAAAGATCAAATATCCATGTTGTCCACTAGATTTACTGCATAAGGATTTGGCTGCTGATAGTAAGGTCCGGTGAACATCGAAAACAGTTATCTAAGGGTTTTTGCTAGATAACTTTTTACTCTAATACCTTAGTACTGTATGACGCTTTACCTGCTTCCCTTTGGTTCATCTAAGCAAGTAAATGTTCTCACCTCTGATGTATCTCACTTTTTCCCTAATTTCACTCGAACATTAGAATCTTGTATGTTCCTGGAGTAGAGGTTCCACTGATACCCATCCGTCTTCTTGTCCATATTGTGGTTTATACGCAGCGTCGCTGCAGCGTTACTGTGTGGATCAGGGAAGAAGGAATATATATATATATATATATATATATATATATATATATATATATATATTACGGTATTGACGCAGAAATATTACGGAGAATATCTTTGTCTCATGTGATCGGAGATACTGTTATTGTAGGCCTTCATTTGTCTCGAATTCTATGCGTGTAGCGTTCTTGTATTTCTCTGGCGCACCTTTCATTAGTCAGGTAACCCTAAAGAACACATCGGACCACTGAATCGAACATACCTTTGATGTTGAGCAGCGCAACTAGGGTGACTTTTCAATACATGCGGCGATGCTCCAACGCTTGGCACACAATGATGTGGACAAAACAACATCGCTTTCTACGAAACCCGACGGCGTTTGCGAGTCTCAGTTTAACGAGAGGCACTCAGTCTTTGGAGAATGATAGGGGCAAGTAAATTATGCGATGTAGATCAGATTGTTCTCTCTACTACCGTCACGTTCCGACCGTGAGCTCCATTTACAATCGAAACTACAACAGCGTTTCCAGATTTGGTCCTTGTATTCAAGAGGGCTTCAGAAGTGGATTACTTTCAGTCCCAGATATCGTGCGTTCAAGGAAGGCAACAGTAAGGACCGTTCCACGGGGATGAGACTTGACCCATTTTGTCTGAAGCGCCTTCAGGTCGACCGGTGGCTGAATGGTCTGCGCGCCTGTTTTACTACCATAAGGTCACCGGTTCAAATCCGCATATGGGTGGGCATTCTCGCGATATACTCTGCCCTCGCATGGCAACTGAGCGCCGTACGGCGTACATCTGGCGATTTATTTTCTTTATTTTCAAGTCTGTTCACCATTGTGCACGGGGCATCGCTGGTGTCGGAAGGCACCGGTACGTTTTCAAAGACGATGTGCGTAGATAAGCGCAAAACGGTAAGAATCCGGCTAACTCCTAAAAACAGCAGCTAGCACTGTATAAGTTACATTGACTTTTGCGCGTACCCGGTCTCCGCTTACCTGATGAGAGCCTTTCTTTGTTTGCTAGATGTAAGATGGCGTAAGGTTCAAGGCTAGCAAAAGTTTACTTGGCAGCGGGAAATCCAGTCTTTGTGAGCCAAACTGGGTGCCGTTGGTCCATCTAATCTTCCAAGCTGGAGTCCGCTCAAGACATCTTGTGTTTGGCTTGAGAAATTACAGTAATTGCCTTGCATCTAGCACCAGTGGAGCGTCTGCTGTCCTCTCCTAATCGCACTACCTTTCAAGCTTCATCTGATACTAATTCATCTGCGAAACTGGCTGATTACGATGCGGAGCAGCGAGAGCTACAAGTTAGCCGGCTTATCATTGCGTGATAGTCAGCTGTTTGTGACTGTGTTGACACGGTGTACTTGTTGTGGTCTCACATGTTTGCTTAGGACATTTATGGGGTCTACTATGTTCCTATTCGCTTGCGCATATTATTCTTTATTCATCAGCGATTATGTTTGTACAGCAACAAAGCATTGGTTCACGTTACCTGTTGTGCTGATGTTGGCGATAGTTATAATAGTGAGAGCAGCTCCAGTTAGTCGAGCCAGTTCCCTGTCACCGAGTTGTGACGACTAAATCGTGCAACCCATCTACTAGAGCTAGTCCCTCGAATTTGAAGAGTCATAAGAAGTCTATCTGTTACTATGGTCCTATTACGTTTCTTTACCACGGTTTGACATTCGATTTCTGCACACGAGAGCAAACCCAAGGAGATTGTCCAGGGGGTAACGCAATCATTGATCAGCATGAAAGCTGGTTGTTCTGACAGAATAAATTGCTTTTCAAAGTGTTCAACCCAGCACTATGCGTTTTGACAGGTTGTTGTTAAGTTACTCCCTCTCATCGCCTCTAGTTCAGCTTAACAACAGATCTTCCGCTGCACCTTTAGTGTATGCGATGGAATAACTCCCAACGGTTACTGAAAGCACTGACCATCTCCAGTGTATGATGAAGTCTCCAGGATGGTATCTGCGTGTGCAGAATTAAGCGCTATAGCCAGAGTTTATGTCGAATGGGCACATAAGATCTGCTGTCAGCACACTGTTGTTTGTGGTTACTTGTTCTCGTTTAATCGGTGCGGAGCTGTCCAAAGTATATCATTGCTCGGGTTAACCTTTTGAGAAATCACATCAACTGACACTGCCTGACATACGCAATGCAATGGATAACCAAGATATCAAGTCAGCGCTTATTGGACAGTCTTGCGATTGTTTACCGGAGACACTGTGCAACTGTTTTATCGACATATGCAGCTTCACAGATCTTATATCCACTTTCGTACCCTCGCTTCGGTCGATCACATTTGATCTTATCGACGCTGATACGATTCTGTTTAAATCAGCTTAATTCAGAGTTGGTACCAGGGTACTTGCGTTTGCTCAATCTCTAGTCTGTTCATACAGAGTAACGACACCTCCGATTGACCGACCACTGGCCCCTAACCGCTCACTGATTGGCATCTTTCTTCGTTTATGCTATCCTACCCATACGCAAAGCTAAATAATTATGTGCCAGCAAGTGCAGATCGACATGTGGAAACCATGAATTGTTTTATTTATCTGCTCGTACCCTTATATATTCAACTCCGGTTTTTGATCCAGCTGTTGTGTGAAATTTTTATCTTACGTAGATTCTAGTCTGATATTAAGCAAAAGTGAGAGGATTTCTGTTTGTTTCATGCGATTTGTTTTATGCAGTTTTATTGGAATTATTAGGTGGTTTCACTTCGTACAGTTTCAGTTTTTATGTATTTTACCTCCTCGAATCTTTCTCGGTTTTCAGGTGAAAAACCTTACTCATACGATTCATCTGGAGCAGCGACAACCTGTTCTTCAACGAATGACCTTCCGCCAAGTGATCGAAGTCGCACCGAAAGTCTAGATCAAAGTGAGGATGGATCAGAATGTGAGCCAGGACAACAGTGGACCCAGGTGACTCGTCCGACGAATGCGCGTCATAATCAAAAAAACAAAGTCAACTTACTTGCTGGAGTCCAGTCAAATGGTTTCCACCAGCCAATGAACACGTGTGCACGATCTTTTCACGGACCTAAAGATTATAATAGGATTCCTAGACACCTTCGTGCATCCGCCTTGCCACGAAACAATAGCGGCTTACAGAATCCCTCAAGCCTTCTTAATGGCACTTTAACATACTCGCAACCGGATTGTTCCAACGGGCCTATCAACGTCAAGTTGGAAGCGGCCACGTCAGCCGTGCAAGCTCCTGTAATTTCTTCCTCTTCATCTGCCATAACCCCTCCTGATCTGCATAGCGGTTTGCATATCAGAGAGGATGAAAACAGTGTCCGTTTGCAAGGTAGTTATCTCAGGGGTCGCAAAACTTTCCGTCAAATGGGTGAGGTGAATGATCTTCCGGGTCGCACCCTACATTATCATCAACCGTCTCCTCCCGTTTGCTCGGGCTCAGGTGTCACTCACACTGGTACTCCACAGCCAAACTTTGTTCGAGCTGTTTGTACACACGTTTCTCCTACTAGTATAACGACGAAAACCAACTCACAGAATGATCCCGGACGTCGTAATCCTTTTGCTTGGAGACGCCCACATTGCTCGATGCCTTATGGTGCTCGTAACCTGTCTTTTCAACGATTCCATGGCCCCAATCAGAGCGCACCCCGGCCCTACCATAATCACTCTCGCTATCGCCCTGGTGTCATTCTGGGCTCTAATGACGCCTCTGCTGAACTGAATGACAAGGTTAAGGAATCGTCTACGGCTGTGTCCTCGGACACTTTGGTAACATCTGTAAAGAGCGATTCGGTGGATTATCATCCTTCTGCCACAGGAAAAAGAACTTCCTGGGCAGCCGCTGTTGCTTCCGCCCCTCCGGGAGCAGAAAAAGCCTCTGCTTCCACTGATGTTTGTACAGAATCCCTTCAGTCTCAACTTCTTCCCTTTTTGCTCAATCAGTGGCAATTATTTCGCGGAAAGAATTGAATGCCAGCCACTACTTTTCATGCGTGTTCAGAACAGTGCTCCATCTTTCGCCGATAAATTATCATGGAGTATCTGCAACTTTATTTTTTTCTTATCTGTCCCTTTTTCTCTGCTCTACTCTCTTTGACCACGTTTATTCAGCTTATTACACCGATGACACGCTTATCCGCTAATCATAACCTTATTTAACGGTGTTTGCACTAATCAGATGTACCGTTGACTTTTTATTTTTCCACGCTGCTTCCACATTAGCTGCTTACAAGTCTACCTTTGGCGTTCCACATCACTGCATTCCATGGGATCTGTTTGCTGAACTGATATTCGTGCGTCCTTTATGACACTGCCAGGAACCTTTCTCCACTTGGCTTTCCCTTCTAAACTTTTGCCTAGTCCTAAGACGTAGCCATGATGCCTCCATTTTCCCTTGGCCATAGTTTCCTCTTCCTCTTACATTTTCATATCGCTGCTTGTCACATGGGTCACAGATTTTTCTTACAAATACATGCAACTGGATCAAAGGGCTTAGAAGTTGTTATAGCTGTTTGGCCTGCAAAAATACTTTGAAAAAATTCTGGGTTATCGGCCCCAGTTCTATTGGTGTACCCCTCACAACTTGGGGATTCACACTGTTTTACAACACCAGCTTGTACTACACAAGTCGTTCAGCATTGCTTAGCATCGCGTTTTTACCGTTTAGCATAGGAAAAGTTCTTCTTTTCAGGTGATGGGAGTTGTTCATGCATGCGTATTGTTCACCTCCGCTGGAAACACCAGTCGGTCGTATTATCCCAAAATTTCCTTGGGGATCATGTTCGTGTGATTTGCCCACATGTACAGCAGCACACGTCTTTTGTAGCGACAACATTGGTTCAAGCCTGGCCGCTCGTTTTTATTTGATGCTAACCTAGTCTTAGTTGTTCCTAACTTTTTGACCATCGAACTTGTTTTAACCCACTAAAGCGTGGGAATGCTGTACCAGCGGACAACTTTATTCAACTTCACTATTGTCTTTCATCATGAAATCATTAAAATTCATTCTTCGCTGTTTGGTGAGCCGCAACAATCAACCCTTGGGATTTCAGCTGAATCATCTTTCCGGGACAATGAGAAACCGCACATCCAAGTGTTTTCCTGCTAACGTGTACATGCCAGCAAGGTCCGCACTGTTTTTCAAGCATTTGGGCGATTTCGACAGCGATTAGGCTATCTTGCAAATGTCTTCGCGCTCCACTCTCCAATATGTTTTCGATTTCTTTCGCAATATCTTCGAGATCAATAACGTTTCTTTCCTCCAACTGCGCTTTCCTTTTCAGCCACTCTCCGTCTTCATATTTCTCATCTTGCGATTTCCATCTAACTGGACGACGACTTGAATCATCGTATAATCTAGCTTCTTCAATACCAACATAGAGATCTGGTGTAGATTTTGAATGATCCACGAATCCATCCTTTGTTTTGCGACGCATTGGATCCCTGTAACACAAAATAGGTTCAATTACGATGCGTAACATTAGGGAAACTGAGTATACATATATTAACCGAAAGTCATCCGCTGGTTAGATATCATCTTCTCCTTTTCTTACAGATCACCTACCTCAGCAGTTGACTACTTACACTGAACAGTCACTTAGTTTTTGTTGTATTTCCGCGGACTGAACGAATAGCCAATACATTATTTCTGATCACGGACCTTTAGTCGAGCTGCTGAGAGTGCAGCTTTATTAACAGTCGAAACGGGTGTGACTACCTGGTTCAACAGAAATGACTCAGTGGAAGACTCCGTGTTAACAGAGACTATCAGACGCCAGCTGCCTCCAAACCAAAAGTACGGTCATTATCTCCAGAGCAGAAGCATTCTCATTGGCTGGTCGATGTTGGTCCGAGCTACTGCAGAAACTACCGACATAGTATGTTTAGCGGCATCCTATTCCGGGTTTGCCTGCCACTGCGGCCACAGTACACTTGCGCCTACAGCGGTACCATGGGGGGCTTGCACTGCGCCACCCACAACTCCATCCGCACACCCCGTATCCGGTGTAAGCCCGAAGAAATAAGACAAGGAGGCCATCAGAACCATGGCAAGAGAAAAAAGTGGAGAAGATAGGAACACGAACTGCGCTTAAAAATGAGAAACGATTTTTTTGGTTTTACACACGCCATTTTGAATTTTTTGTTTTGTGAGTTTTTGTGTGTATTAAAGGAGGGCTATAATGGCAGAACAACATTGACGTCACTGATGTCTGTTGCAGGCCATGACGTCCAATGTTCCCAACCACTGCGATTCAGCATCTCGTGATGCCCAACCTGGTCCGGCTTCCGCCAAACTTGAAGTTACCTTCTTCATGCTCCTTCTCCACGTCATTGGCTGTCCACCGCGGCACTTTTTCCAATCGCTCCCTGGAAGTGCAAATAGCGCCCGACATGGAAGGCAATGGGCTGGCATACGCAAAACGTGCCCGAGCCAACGCATGCGATGTCGGAGACTAACGTCCTGACGACTGGCACTATTCGCTCCAACCACATCGTCTCGCACCTCTTCGTTGCCACCACACCTGAGCAATCCTTCGTAGACAGCGATTGTCGAAGACTGACAGCCGCTTCATGTCTTCCGAGCGAATAGGCCGTCTCACAACCGTACAAGAGTACTGCACGGACGGAAGCATTGTACACCCTGCCCTTGAGCTTGTTACTAACATCACGACGACGCCATAGATGTTTCAGTTTGATGAATGCAAGGTGAACCTTTACAATCCGTTGTGAGACTTCATCTCCAACACCGCCACCAGCCGTGATGCAACTCCCTAGAGAAGTAAAGCAAGGGACTCGCTCCAAAACATGTCCAGCAATGGTGAGTGCGGGTTCAGGCATCGCCAGTCCTGGAACAGCGTTTTACATTTTCCCGGAGTGAAGCATAAGCCGTACTTAGACGCCTCCATCGCTAAGCCGTCCAAAGCGCTCTGGACGGTTTGTGGGTCGTCCTCCAGCGTGGCGATATCATCGGTGTAGTCCAAGCCCGTGACTCTGTTTCCAATAATAATAATAATGTGTCAGCTGTACGCCGTAACGGCGCGTCGCTGCCGCGCGACAACCACCAGTCGCGCGCGGGCTGGGTATACCGCGAGGATGCTCACCCCTACGCGGATGCGAACCGGTGACCATATGGTTGCAAACCAAACGTGCAGACCACTCGGCCACCGTCCGACGTTTCCAGGGAGGAGCTCAACACCGCAGTCTTGGACATCTTCCAGTACTCTTTGGACAATATCTTCGATAATGCTGTAAGAAGACGAACACTGGCAGATGTCAACATTTCTTATTGTCTCTTCAGTGCCAACACAATGACATGAAAATATATAAGACAACAGGTAGGGTGAGACCGGAACAAGTTAGAACAGGGTAGAGGGACAGGCGTGACACCCCTACGCCCAGGGTCCATTAAAAGAGAGGTTTACCGAAAACCGACTTGGTCAGGACAGTACCTACACTTTACCAGCTTCTCCCCAATGCGGTACAAGCGGACCTTAGTCAAGACGCTATTCAGCCGTGCAAGGAAAATATGCACTACCAACAGTTTAGATGATGAGATAAACTCGCTCAAGGATACGCTGTTGAAAAATGGCTATCCAAGTAAGTTCATCGACAAACATAGTCAGGCGAGGGTGCCGGGACAGAAGGTATCGACAGTGTCTAAAAAGAAGGTCTACATCGAGCTACCATTTAAGGGAGATTTTGCCAATATGAGGACAACGAAGCGCATAGTTTTCGCAGTCCAGAGGACTTATTATGCTGCCGAAACTGTCCTCATCAACCGGACTAATCGAATACCTGTTACCCCAATGACAGAAAGACAACCTATTGGCGCCAACTCACATTGCATTTACCAATTTACTTGTAGTTGTGGTATACACTACATCGGGCGTACCAATCGATCGTTGAATTCCAGAATAAGGGAACATGTACCTAAATGGTTGCAGCGTAAAATCACCCAGTCCTCGGTTGCTCATACCATCTGTTCACGTAAACCACCTGCTTCATCCATAGGTAGGCATTTACTGGCCACAATGTTTACTAACACCCGTTTCCTACGTTTTGCAGAGGCAGTCGCGATCAGCCGTATCAAACCCGCACTCTGTGTACAAAAACAGCTGTTCGTAAGCCTACGGCTGCCCTGGGCGTAGGGGTGTCACGCCTGCCCCTCTACCCTGTTCTAGCTTGTTCCGGTCTCACCCTACCCGTCGTCTTATATATTTTCATGTTATTGTGTTGGCACTGAAGAGACAATACGAAATGTTGACATCTGCCAGTGTTCGTCTTCTTACGGCATTATTCAAATTACTAAAGGGATCTAATTGTTTCAAATATCTTCGATGGCGAAATTGAAGAGGAGAGGTGAAATAGGGCAACCTTGCCGAACACCGCTGGTCACAGCAAATGAAGAAGAGAGCGTGCCGTAAGTCCTGACTTTGCCCGGCGTTTGACTGCAAAACTCTTTCAGGATAGTTACAAACTTGTCGGGCACACCCTTCAGTAAACAGTTCCACAACGCAGATCTATCTACTGAATCCAATGTCGCTCGGATGTCCAAAACACTACGATTGTTGGCCGCCGGTGGATGTGAAGAAGTTCGAGCACTTGCCGAAGCGTGAAGCTTTGGTCGATGCAGCCGCGGTCTGGACGAAACCCGGCTTGTTCTTCTCGGGAAAAATCCTCTCTAGTTGTTGAAAACCTGCGAAGTAGGACCGATACGAAGATTTTGGATGCGACAGAGATTAACGAGATTCCGCGGTAGTTGCAGCAGTCGTCGCGGGAGTCCTTCTTGTGAATCGGAACCTTCTCTTCAGTCCAAACTTTCGTGAACAGCGATAGGATTTCGTTGACAAGTACACTGTCACTATCTTTGAATAAAGCCGGTGGTAGGCTGTCTGAACGCGAAGCCTTGTGGCGTTTCAATATTGGATTACATTTCGAATCTCTGCTTCATTTGGGGGAGGGGGCTGTGGAGACAGGTCAAGCATCATACATTGGGGCTGGACGTACCTCAGGGGGCTGTGTTGGGTGGTTAAATTGAAGAGCGAAATGCTCTGCCCAGCGACTCAATCGCCTGTGAAGGTTGGTGATCTTCGTGCCGTCTGATTCGCACATCGTCTGGCTGATAGCGTGGAAATTGCATTTGATGGCCCTGATGATGTAAAATAGACGGCGGAAGTTGCCAGCTGATGTAGCGGCTTCCATCTCATCAGCTTGTTTTGACCACCAAGATTCACGATCAGAGCGAAGGCTTGCTTTCAGCTGTTGCGTAATAGACCGTCGGTGTTCGTTGTACTCTGCGCCAGCAGGCACCGCCCGTCGGCGACCCAGCAATTCCGAAGATCTTCCTAAGATCCAGCTTTTGCGAGTGGAGCGCGTGAGGCCACAGCTGGACAAACCGGCCGACAGCAAAACTTTTTGCAGGATTGACCAGTGTTGATCAACATCCAGAGTGTGAGAGAGAACGAGATTTTCACGACGCTTTGTTGATACTCCTTCTTCACCATTGGGTCCTCCAACTTGTAGATGTTCAGTCGGGTGTGCTTTTACCTAGGTGAACCACCGAAACGAATGCAAACGGTCGCACATACCAGTGCATGATCGGTATCGACGCATGTTGACCAAAATAACCGGCAATCTCGTATGCTTCCACGCCACCTGCGACTTATAGCTATGTGGTCAATCTGTGACCAGCGCTGGGTTGATGATGGGCGGCGGCAATTGGCATACTGGCGTCCAGGATGACGAAAGCTGGTGCTGGAGAGGAATAGTTGATGATCAGCACACAGACTGAGCAGTCTCTCCGTTGTCTCAGCAAACATCATATCCATGCGGTCCCCGAGGTGGCGCTCACATGGCAGCAGACGACCGACACGCGCGTTGAAGTCACCTGCCAAAACAATGATGTCTGTTTTAGGAGCCCTTAGGAGCAGCTCATGAAGGTTCTGGTAGGACTGGTCTTTGACGGTGTCTGAGCTATAGTCAGTGGGAGCGTAGGCAGAGATCACGAAGAGTGCACGTTTTTCAACTTGACGTCTGCTGACTTTACAAGAGCCATGGAGCCTCACCGCACAAAGGCGACTATTGATCGGAATCCAATCAATCAAAGCAGTCTCGGCTCTAGTACTGAGGGCGATTCCAACACCAGCTTGCCTAAATGCGGCAGACTCGGCGTCACCAGAGAGCGGAGATGGAAGCGGGTGCGTGGGTGGAGCGGTGACACCAGCTGGTAGACCGAGTTAGAGTCGTGTTTCATTCAGGGAGCAGATATCAATTCCAAGGGTCTCCAGCGTGCGTGCAAATCCAGCTTGCTGACCGATCTGCAGTAATGTGCGTACGTTAAAGGCTGCAAGTTTGAACTGCGTTCCGGGTTACAGAAGCGAAGATGGGAGACTTTGGGACTGGCACCTCTCTGTTGAGCACTGTTGTTGAGTTGGAAGATGTCA